TTTTCACTGATTCACTGAATAGTACCTTTGTGAGATAAAAAAGCTTCTTTATTAAATATTTATTCATTTATTTTTTGCTCACAAAAAAGCAAATTGTTTATTAATTAATTATATACTATTATTAATTAGTGGATTGAATGATTCATGATGCTTTAGTATTGAATATTTAAAAATCAAAGACTTAAATTACTTTATTAAACTTGCATTTTCCAATAATGCAAAATCATTTATAACAATCAGTTGTATTAGTTTTTGAAAATTAATTCAGATTTGAGCGAAACAGAATTTGTTTAAAAGTTACTCATCACGAAAAATAACTGAAAAATTATGAAAATTGCAATTCATGGTAATAAAGTAAGTTTGGAGCAACAACAATTGAGGATTTAGAGAAACAAGCTGTAGTAAAATGCTTGCATTATCGAATTTGAGCATTCTAAATAATTATAATTTATTCAGTAATGAAATTGAATGAGTTTATAACTAATTTTTATGTGAATGAAATATGGACGAAATTTTGAGTAATTTTTATCGTTCTCTTTCATTCACTTTGAATTACAATTGTAATTATTGCAGAGTACAGGAAAGAATAATCATTATTTGTGATTGAAAGCAACCAGAAATGTCGTCATATGAATTTTTTGGGACAATCAAACCGCAAACAAATTTCGACGCAGAATTAGCCGCAGATAAACTGTACGAAGCCATGAAGGGATCAGGTTGTGATAAGTACAGAGTAATTCAGGTCATTGCACATTGCAACAATGCCCAGCGACAAATGGTATCTCTTGAGCTTTTATGATACTTTTATAATTTTATTTTAAAAACTGAATTGACAGTTTCATGCTGAAAATTCTTAACATTTCTAATGCTAAAATATGAAAGTAAATTTATGAAAATTTGAAAAATTGGTAAATTTCAACTTTGACCTCGTAAGTCAGTTATAATAATAATAATTATTATTATTATTATTGTTATTGATTGTCATGTGTATTTTGCGTGCTTTG